AATTGAAGGACAAGTACTTGTCTGACATTGCAACCACCTGCTCCGCCTTCAATTGTGTAGGCCGAATTATCTGGGGCCTGCTTGTTGACCACTTTTCTTACAAGGTATTGGCAACGTTTTTTATTTCCGCCTGTTTTAAGGTTTATTTTGTTATAAACTTTACAAATTTAGATTCTATGATGTATTCAAGGGTGCGGTTTGAACCTCTTAAGGTTACTTGGCTTGTAAATGCATTCAGAAACAGCTGAGGGTTGCTAAACTGTGACGCATGTTTTCCATCATTCAAAATTTTAAAAAATAATTTCCTTGTACTTTCTTGTTGAATTATTTGTTTAGCTGGCAAATGCTTGCTGTATAAAATTTATAAAGAAACGGTCTTCTATGTTTTAAAGTTACTTATACTAACGCGCTTTCCTAGAGACCTCCTTGTGTTTTTGTTTGTGAGATCTCGGTCACCTGACAAACGCCGCCCATCAGGTCTTTCCACGCTCTGTAGACGGTTTTATCTCTATTTTGCGCTGGAGTGCACCGCTGATGACGTGGTCTAGATGCGGGCCCGACCACTGTAAAATCATTCGCCCCTCATCTTATGGGCATTCAGCTTGCACCAATAACCGGGTAGGTAGGTCACCTTAGTAGTAGTACATGGGTGGATAAGGCTGCTGGTTGGGCTCGAGGAAGAGCCCGTAAGGCACAACGGAACGAGTGAGTTCCGTAAGCACGATCGGTGAGCGCCCCCTTCCATAGTAACCAGTTATGTTGCACAACCATTTTCTTGTTCTTTCTGTCATGTTCTATTTAATGGCTTCAAAAACTTGGGTGCACATCAGGATTTAAATCATGGACGGTGTTAAGTACTCGCCGGTACTGAAACGCTTCTGGTAGTTGAGTGAAGCAAATGTTGCTGTCCGCGCTAGCGCATTTGCCTTAACCAAATTTAACGGTTTGCCTCAAGGAACGAAACTCTGCTACTGGATATTGTAATGTGTATGTGTATGTTTTACGTTCCTTCAACCTATGCTCGAGACCCGAAAACGCGAAATGGTCGTCCATGAAGTAGTTATTTCTTTCTTGGGTTTCGGACTTTGGGGTGAATCATTACTAAGACTACCATAGCGACTTCAAAATTGCTTCTGGCGAAAGCTTTGTGGTGACATTAATTGTGCGATCACCAGCTAGGTTCCGCTTTATATTCTTATAAGTGATGATGCATTTCAGTAAGCTCTGTGGTATAAGTTACAATACCATTTTGCCGAGGAGCATGGGCGAAGTCTTCCAGATCCAATTTCCTGGGTCACTACTCGAGAAGAACCACTACTTTGAGGCCGTTTGCACTTGGCATGACGCGACAAGACACACAGAAGTAGTTGGAAGATCGGATTTCACCCTCACCCCCTTTAGCTGGCAAGCATCAAAATAAAAAGTTTGCCTACTGTCTCCCATTAGTTGACCTTGTATAATAAAAGCGAGTCTCTTGGTTCTTAATGGCTCTGCCAACGCGGAGCCTGTCTTACCGACTTAAGCAACCGGCAGCTGCCCGATGCATAATTTTTAATTGCCCTCTGTTCAGTGCCCACTGCTCTGGCTTCTACTCCAATGGGGCATCTTATTCGTGACCTATCCCTACGTCGCCGCCGGACCAGCGGGCCCTTACCTCTACGCTATCTGGATATTCGCAATTTTCTTCACACTCTCCGGTCACTTTGTCATCATACCCGCTGCCTGTACACGCATTTTTGGACCACAAAACATGGCCACCATCTACGGCCTGGTGTACGCCGCAACAGTAAGTTAACAAGCAGCCTGTATGATTATTTCTGGCAACTTGGTAGATGTGCCAAATCATGAAGTGTTAACCGAATTTTGAAATTGGTTTTGGACTCGAAAAGACTACTTAAGTAGGGTTGTAATATTAATCAGCATGCACTTTAATTCCAAAGTATCTCAATTACTTGGGGATGCCGGCTTTTGAAGGAACCTCTCTCCGGCCACCTGCTTGAAAATGACTGTTTATGTAGCATGAATTTATCTAGTTCACCTTTCATACCCTTTTAAATTTGAGCACATTTCATAGACAAATGCACACAAGTATTAATTCCTTTACTCCTTTAGTAAAAAATTACATCTTTTTCAAATTTTTTGCTTGAGGGAAGCGTATAATTCAACTTTAACAAAGTTTATAATTATGAGATTTTTCAAAATCGTGAAATGCCAGTTCACAAAACATCGTGTCTCTGCATTTACTAATGTTATTCGTAAAGTTTATAATAGGGCTTAATCCCACTGCTAAATTTTACGAACCGTTCATGGTCTCCTCTTAGTATCGTATAGAAGTGCATGGTTTTTAGTACACGGAAATTATACAGCTTCAAGTTCAGAAACCCTGAATGCAAGTGTAACGGTAGGTCAGGCTCGAAATTATTCGGGAGTTGGAGAGATTTTTAAAACTCTTCCCTCAGGATGACCTAATCAAAAAGGTTTCTCACACGAATAATCGCAATTTCTGCGAAGACAGCATGTAACCGTAGCTGGTGGACTCGAAACCAATAAATGTGGGCGGAATGTGGTATATAGTCAGTTAAATCATAGTCCACCTTCATGCCTATCCCTCATCTTTCCCCAGTGTCACTCTTAGTCTGCATGATAAAATTATTTTTCTTTGACGCATTCAAGTCGTGTGATGAGGCCATAATCCTTGCCCAATCGAAAATAAATGTGGCGCATTTCGCTTCCAGTAAGAAGTAGTTTGGTAATGACGCTCTGATCTTCACGGAAGAGAGTTATTTCGTAAAGATAACGTACTCGGAAATCTTCTCCTAATTACAACATTTCGCGCGATGACCTTGAAAATTCAATTATATTTCATGGAAAACGTGCGTATAAATATTCATTCTTTTACTTATTTGGTAAAAAATCACGTCTTGTTCCAATTTCACACTCAAAAGAAGAGTATACTTCGGTTTTAAAAAACTTTTCTAATTCCCGAATAATTTTGAACCCGACCTGCTGTTACACTTGCATTCAGGGTTTCAAAACTACAAACTGTATATTTTCCGTGTACGGAAAACCATGCATTTCTCTACGGTGTTAAGAGGAGACCATATGAGGTTCATAAAATTAAGCAGTGGATTCGAGCAATATTGTTAGCTTTACAAGCCACATTCGTAAACGCAGATACATGAGGTTTCATGAGCGGCCAGTTAACGGTAGCAAAATATCTCCCAATTAGAAACCTTTTTTAAAACCGAATTATACTCTTTTTGAGTGTGAAATTCGAAGAAGACGTGATTTTCTACCGAATAAGTAAAAGAATGAATATTTATATGCATGTTTTCCATGAAATATAATTGTATTTTTAAGGGCATCGAAAATCAATGAGAAAATTGCATACTACATAAGTCGTCATTTTTTGCAGCCAAAAATAATTTCTTCCGAAAGCCGACACCGTAAGATAACTGGGTCATTCTAGGTTTATGCTGCATCATGATTAGTTTTACAACACTACTTAATTTATCTTTTCGAAACGAGAACGCATTTCGAAATTTTGGTTGACATTTCATGAGTTAGCACATCTACTGTACTCGGAAATCTTCTCCGGATCACAACATTTCGCGCGATGTCAGACGGTTTGACGAGACGAAAATTGCACGCATCTCTGAAAGACCAGAGGTCGAAGACTAACCAGACTGCCTACAGAAATTAACGCATGAACTTGGAAGAAATTCTTTGAAACAAACCTCTTTAAATTTGACGCCGACGGAGGAGAGAGGAAGCGACCACCTAGCTTTCCTTGATGGTTTCGTCTGTCGTATGGTTATAGTGACCAAAAACTTAGGTGCTCAGAAAAGCGATAAATACGACGCCAGTACTGAGCTTCGACAGCAATCACCCAATCAGCCATAACCGCAGTTGTGTGAAAGTGATGTACCGGCTTCTGGAGGCGCACTGCAGTGAATCGTAAGACAAGGGGGCTGACGGATGCTCAGGCTGAATGACTACCAAGCAAGTTTATCCACCGCTGCATGCGCAAACGAGACGAGCGTTCGGTGAACGCTGCCGAACGTCAATACCGTCTTAAAAAACGGCCAATCGTCTACTTGCACCCCTTCGAGGTGGGGTAGCGCACATACCAGGCGCCAAGAAACGAGACCGAAAGATCAATTGCTCCAGCTTGGAATGACTGATGTCTTTCGAGGCTGATGCAATTGCAGGCCAAACGACTGCGTCAAAGGAACTGGGAGACTCCTGCCGACACGGATGACCGAACACGCAGCGGCAGTAATTAGGATTGACAAAAGGTCTCATACCGGGGTCCATTCGATTCAATCATCTTAGTATTCTAAGAGTGCCTTTTAATGGTAATCATTCAAACCCACTTTTTCCTAATATCTGTTTTGTCCGGGTGTCGAAAGTGAAGCGAATATCGCGACTCTGTTGTTGCTGTGCGTTCTTCCCTCGTCTTGTATCCGAGCTTTACTGTTTTCTTATAAGAATAAACGGCTTCCTCACTCATCGCAGATGCTTGCACTTGGTGCGCTAACGGCCCGAGTGCCCTCAGCCGAGTTATTGGACGGCGTCAGGTGCGCGTATTCAAGGGAAATATCAACTTCTTCTTCCCAAATATACCATTTACGATGAAGGTGAGAGAAGACCACCAATTATGATGTTTTCCTCTACCGAAGGGTTAAGACGACCAAGAGGCTAGAGAGTTCAACAAAGCGACGAATACGACGCATGTACTGGACTTCAATAGCAGCCAACCAATCAGCCACAACCAGAGTTGCATGAGAGTGCTATGTCGGTGTCTTGAGAGGCACTACAGGGTTGCTAGAGTACAATATCTTCGACGGATGCTCAGGGCATCAGCGCAGACCTTTCCACCCGTACATGCACAAACGAGACAAGAAACAAAATCTCACCGGTCCCAATTTTTGGGTAGCGTTGTCGCACGCCAGGCACGTCTCAGAAGCCGCCAACTGCTTTCTTGCATTCCTTCAAGGCGGAGTTGCACACAAGCTAGAGCCAACAATCAGGCGCCAAGAAACGAGACCGAAAGATCCACTGCTCCAGCTTGAAATGACTGATGTCTTTCGAGGCTGATGCAACTGCAGGCCGAACGAATGCGTCAAAGAAACTGGGAGACTACGTACGACGCGGATGACCGAACACGCAGCGGCAGTAATGAGGTTTTATATATGGTCTCCGATCTGGGTCCATTTGATTCAATTATTTTAGTATTCTAAGAGTGCCTTTTGATGGTAATTATTTAAACCCACTTTTGTCAAATGTCTGTTTTGTCCAGGCGTCGAAATCGAGACGAATATCGCAACTCAGTTGTTGCCGTGTGTTCTTCCCCCCATCTTGTTTCCGAGCTTCTAAAAAATATTGAGTCGTAGACTGTGAGCACTAAAGCTGCCACAATTATTTCGCTGTTCTTCCTCTTCTCTTTCTAGGCTCCCAGCGCTCTTCTAGCGGCAGCTGTTATCTCTCAATTTGACGTGAAGGGCGCCTGGATTGCTGTTTACACTGCCTGCGCCGTCTCCTGCTTTATTGGTAATGTTAGACCTTTTTCGGCATTTGTTGCAACATCTACTTTTACTCCACTCCTCTTCTATTTTGTCGGATCCGCCTCGGAAACCCCCAAATGCTCTTTAAGTGAGGTGGGATTCGATTATATTTGTTTTTGTGTGAGAGAGAGGTAGAGAGAGGTGTAATTATCTCGGGACCAGTTGTTCATTCGGTTGCTTGTGTCTCTAGGAGGCAGGATAGTTGATTAGTTTGTGGCCGTACTGAAAGAGCTAGGTATTTGGGGACCTACAACCCTACTGGTCTGGCGTGTCTGACTCGACCTAGCGCTTCCGCATAACTTCTTAAGAAATCTAGCAGGCGAGGAATCAGTTTTGGATGGTGTACCATTTAGATGTCTGTAATTCGACCCTCATCAGAGCGTAGCGGATTAACTGGGGGACTGGCAGACGGGTGTACTGGTTTGATTTTCATGGCATCGACTCATGTGAGATCCCAGCCGCCCCCCCCCCCACCATAAGAACCCGGTACGTGTAGCGGACACCTGGGTCGACTGTGGCATGCGTAGACAGGCCGTTTGCCTTCTCCTCCACTGCGCCTCTACTCGCCCCCACCGCCGCCGTTGTTTTTAAATCGCAGCCAATCAGCGAGAAAGAAGAGTACAGTAGATGCTGCGCATGTCTGATTCACCATAAAGTAATTCCCCAAAAGGTCACCACTACTGCACGCAGTGAACGTCCTCAATTCTGACAGTCAAACAGTTGTCAGTACAAAAAGACGTTTCGCAGGCCAAAACGGCATTTCATTGGTCGGCATCTGTTTCTGACGAGATTGTTTTTTAGCTGCGACTCTCGGAAAATATGTTTTTTAAGTGTTTATTCACCCGAATAGTGCTTAAGAAGCAATTTTTGTCAAACACTTCGTTGCCTCAGGCCAAGCACCAGTTTTTAGCAGCTCAAGTCACGGACAAAGTATCCGGCCAGACAATGACAGGAGTTTAGTGCGCGATGCTGGTGTATTCACCGTACCTGAAGTGTCCATGCTCATGAAAAGAACTTATGAAGTTCCGGATTCGTTTCTCTCCCAGTCTGGAATACCTGGCGGCACAGTTCTTCCTGTTGCTTTCGCCTATCATCCGAAGCCACCGCTAGTGATGGCGAATTGCCACAAGGCGGTTTTGCCGTCAAGTGGACATTCGGCTTTCTGCTGAGCTGCAAATGTTTTTTAAAGCTAAATAACGTCTTAGGGGATCTTTGATCCCGATATCTCTCAACTCTGTCATCTGCGTGGTGACGACAGCGTCAGTCTTTGCTCAACCGAGGCTTCTCCAAGGTTTGAAAAGTTTAACCAGTAGTTTTTAAGCTCTCTGTGGGTCCGTTTTTTCTGGACAGCCCAAACAGCCGTCCTTGGGTAGTTTCCACACCCTCATTTATAGTTTTGTTTCCAAAAATTCGATCAATTTCTCACCCCGCCCCCCTCCCTGATAACATTAATGTTTTGAGATCGTGAGCTACCTCGCAGCTAAATTCGAAACTCCTACTTCCATGCTGAAAATGTCACAATTTCGGTCTGGAGGGAGGTTGGCACGCTGGAACTCCTACGGCAGTCTGATCACATCCCAGAATCAAGCGTTTGCTGCGACGTCCGCAATGGCTTAGCGTCTCCTCACATCTTATCAGTCGTCATAGGTTTAAGAAGACTCGCCGTAGATCGTCTTTCCGTGCACTGTTGCGAGGTGACTGCAGATTGCTAAGTGGAGAACTGATTAAACCTTCATGATACCTGAGAATGTCCTCATCGCATTCCCTGCAGATTTTGCCACCGACGATGACGCGTAGATCGAGACTTATATTCAACCGACTACGTCTTCCTTCTCTCATACTTATCGTCCATATCGTATTCCCCGTAGCGGCATCTGCATCCAGTCAACGCCATTTCAGAAACGGGCTTGTCTTGCACCTCACAAATCCATCTGCTAATTATTGTTAACCCATTGCCTCCCACTGTTTTCCTTTTTTCCATGCACACAGCCTTCATCATCAGCCTCTTCCTCAAGGACGAACAGGTGCGCTGCGTGGGCTTCACCTCGGGGATTGCACGCCTTTGTGACCGCTGCAGGGGCGAGCCAATCAGCGAGGAGGCCGAGATGGAGAGCCCCGCGAAGGTCGGGGTCGACGCGACAGGAGACAAGGCGAAGGAAGAAGAAGGAGAAACAGCGGTGCTTTAGAAGGGGCCGCAGTGTAGCCTTCCATGTTATGGGAACATTTAGCGTCTTCTTAGCCCCAGAATGTACATTTATCGCTTTCCTAAATTTTATTTTGGCGCCTGTTTTCCCCTCTTCTCGCGATTACGAGGGCGGGATTGGATTGCCCACTTTGACGACTATTGTAGCACTTCGAGTCTGGGACGTTTATGACCCACAGCTCCCGTAACTCCGTAACAACTTTGCGGTGATTTGCTTCATCATCGGTGACTCCTAATTTGCTTGGATATGCATGCATGAGTAAGTATAGTAGATTCAGATTAGTTGTCAAGGGAAGGCTGCCAGGGCAGTCGTCCCACGAAGTCATTCCACGTGGCCAAGGCGACGCCCGCGTCGCGTCGCTTTGCCCTGGGGCGAACACTCCAGAAGGTGTAACCGGTACGCTCCATTTGGTCTCGCTGAGTGCAACTATGTGCACCTTGTAGCGCGCCAGTTCTCGTGCCACTAGCGCCCTCCTCTGCTCCGATCGGCTGCTCCTCGGATTGCCTAAAGGGAACGAATATTCCAGGCTGCAACAGTGAGGTGATTCACTCTACCGGTCCGGGCAGCGGGGAGGAGAAGGAAGGGGAAGAGAGAGTGTGTGTGTGTGTGTTGTTTCTTGTTTGGTTGTTTCGACCGTGAGGTTTGGGTCTGTGGCCACAATCAGCCTGTAGACGGCGTGGATCCCTAGCATTTGCTTAGGGCACCTTTTCTAGCCCTTTCCCCATCGGGCTGGGGGGGCTGAGCGGTGCTCTCCCCAAACAGGGCTGCTCAGTTGTCCCAGACGGCTGTCGAACTCCACTATGGGCCACGAGTTTTGTTTAGTTGGCCTGGGCCTGCCTACGACATGGCCGTAAGACCTAACGTCCCACTGAGCCCCCAATACCTCCCCGACGTGTGTGGCACGGGCTGTTTCGCTTTGTCACCCGCTGACCTCCCTTACGGCACCGTTTTACTACCGGAACGAGAGAGAGAGAGAGGAAAGAGTGTGGCAGATGTCACTGTAAACCAAATCACATGCAAGTCGCTGGCGTTGGACTCAGTCCCTGGAGCTCACAGTGGACGCCGTCTTTCGTGATGGCCAGTTTTTATGCGGTGTTGCCTATTGCGTCATCTGAATATCCCTCCTTTCCCATATACCCGCTATAAGCGTAATGCATTAGCAATTTCCCGGTGACGCAGCCACTTTCCTTTCTCTACTGCACAAACTGCCTTCAGGTCTTTCGCACACGCGTGTACATGACGCCAGAATAACAACCTTGATCGTCCCGTCTTGTCCTGTAACCTATCAGGCAGCAGGTAGACGACAGTTGGCCAGGGTTCGATATCAATCAACGGGAATCGTGTTTTAGGGGGAAGGGGGGAGGCTGGCAGTGGTGACAATTATCGACAAATTTTATTGTTCCATCAACCTAACACTGACCTCCTGTTTCGCTTGTTAGTCATTTGCTGCTACCAGGCTGTACGATTTGACGTAGGACGAAACCTGAATCGTGAGTCTTGTCCTGTAACCTATCAGGCAGCCGGTGGACGGCAGATCAAGGGGAAATGCACTTAAGGGGCGGGGTGGGAGTGGTTGGCATTTTCGGCAAATTTTGCTGCTCCAACTGCCTGATGCTGACTTACTGTTTCGTTTACTAGTCACCCGTCGCTGCCAATGTGTGTTTTTATCGATCTACTTTCAGATCCTGTCATTCCTTTTGACAATAGCTAGCATTTGCTTTATGCACACAAGCCCCAATTGTCCGAAAACTCTTTTTCCCCGCTTTGCGTCAATCGTGCTTTTTAGTGCAGAGTCCATGACGGCGCGCTTGTTGTCCCCGTTTGCGACCACAAGCATTCCTTTTTACGCAGGTCCGCAAAGTGTGTGTGTGGGCGTGACGCAGCGTCTGTCAATCGAGGACCATCAATTCGATGCCATCTGCACACACATTTGCCTCGCCCATTCCCTGCCAGCTTTAATCCGCCGCGCGTCTGCTGAGTAAGCCACATCTCTGCCTTCAGGACAAATGTGTAGCAGCTGCTCCAGTCCCCCTTTTCTCCGGCTCCGTTTTGTCGGTCGATGACCGCGGTAAGCACTGACAGGCCGCTGACGCACGACCACCCCCGCCGGCTAGAACTGGGACACCTCCGGTCCAGCTGCAGTGAACCCCGGCTGCACTCAAAAACCTATCAGGCAGCAGGTGGACGATAGTTGGCCAGAGTTCGATATCAGTCAGCAGGAATCGTGCTTTAGGGGGAGGGGGGGGGGTGAGGGGAAGGAAAAGGGGCTGGCAGTGGTGCACACTTTCCGCAAATTTTATTGTTCTATCAACCTGGCAACGGTTTCCCGTTTCGCTTGCTAGTCATTTGCTGCTACCAGAGTGTACGATTTGACGTAGAACGAAACCAGAGTCGTGATTTCCTCCGCTGCATTTCGCCTTCTCCAATCCCGGTCCTGTCCTGCCTTTTGGCACCAGGTAGCACTTGCTTTTGGTACACAAGCTCCACTTGTCCGAAAAGTCTTATTCTCCACGCTTTGCAGTCCAAAGTCTATGACGGCGCGCTTGTTGCCCCGTGATTACTACCGCAAGCATTTTTTTCTACGCAGCTCCGCAAGGTGTGCGTGTGTGTGTGGGCGTGACGCAGCGTCTGTCAATCGAGGACCATCAATTCGATGCCCTCTGCACACACATTTGCCTTGCCCATTCCCGGCCAACTTTATTCTGCTGCCTGTCTGCTGAGTAAGCCACGTCCATGCCCTCCGGACAAATGGCCTGCCCTGCAGCGTGTTCCTGTGAAACGGAATGTCCGGCTGTCAGGAGCTGGGCGATGATATATATGACTGTGGCGGCAGTTAGCCAAGTCGCCCACCGAAGGCAGAGGACTAGTTGAATGATGTGGCTTGAGGAGCAGATAGGCATAAAATCGTGCCTACTTCCGTAATTGTCTGCGCAGAATGGGCAAATATCTGCGGATCACTTTGATGACGATCGCGGCGTCCGGAAGGGGTTTGCACTGGTACGTAACTCTGAGGCGCAATCATTTCGGAAAATTAGACATCTCGGCCGGACTTGTCGTTTCTCCTCTGATCAAATCGGAGGACAGCGAGCGAAATCGGCACACGCCAGTACACGGGAAATCACCAAAAATCATTGCAGGCGAGCAAACACCCAAAACGCACAAGTCCACAGCATAGCAAGGCCCCGCATAACCATTTACCTCGTCCATCCAATGGTCTGGTCGCACCATCGTTCACCCGACGGCGATGGTGTGGATTTGCTAGGTAAGACAAGAGGCGAGGAAGATTCCGCTATTGACTAATCGCGCGGATTTTTAGTACAACCTGGACACAAACTGTCGTCAAGGTCAACTAGGACCGACCTAAACTAAACTTAACAAGTTAAAAGTAGGAAAAGGAATAGAAAAAGGGAATATCTTAAAATAATCTGTGTAAAAAAATGAAAGATCTAACAAAATAGCTACCATAGGTATATGAGCTTGATGATGAATTGCCAGAGGTGATTGTCCACCAATCTGTCTATGACTGGCCGACTGTAAAAGGGCTTCGTACTTATCGACTCACCTTGGATAAATGGCGATGCACGTGGGCCGGAGGGTTAACAACCACTACCTATCCGTTTTTGTTGGTCAGGGTACATTTTGCCTTAGGAAGAAGGAGACGCAGTCGATGATTGTCACTGAAACACATCCTCATATACAGTCGCAGACAGTTCGACCGTCGTTTTTAACGATGTCCACAGTGTGCTCCACAGTAAGACGAAGCAGGGACGGTGACTTGTGCGTGAATTAGTTTATAGTGATAGGCGACTTGCACAGTATCTACCACACTCTCTACTCCTTCCTCACCCGGACCCGGTGTCAAGACGGAGCCAGGTAGACTAGAGACGGGTGAGGGCGTAGGTTGATGGCACGCTCGAGACCGCACCCTGGCACTCCACACTACACCCCGTGGTCCACACAGCAAATGATGAGGTTTCTAACCAGCAACAACAATGGGGGGCGGCAGGGGTCCCAGTGTACGCTAAGTCTGCCGACAACCGGGTCTGCCACTACACCCCTAAGTATTGGTATTTTTATTACGCGCAATCCGATGGCGCCTGCCACAATTCGATATGGCCACCGTGTGGGTTCAGAGCATTCGCCACGTGACCCGTTTGGGGGGAGGGGGGCAAACAGACGCAGATAAGGATTAGATTATGCCCTCATGGTAGATGCGTTGAACCGAGAAAGCGGCTAGCTCGGGGTCGGGCGGGCGTTATTGTGAATGCGCACCCATAGGCGGCGCCAACGGTGGCGGTGTGGCGGCACGCCCGGGTGTGGGCTCGCGCCGCGCCACTTAGGATCCAAGGCGCTCCCAAAATCCTGCTCAGCCGTACGTTTTGGACCAGAGGATGTAGTGGTACGCCTAGGTGCGGCTGTTCGCTGTGCCAACCAGTTGCACTCTGTCCTGTCTCCGGTCTTCTTGGCTATGTCATGACATCAGGCCTAGATTGGGATCGCGAGGGAGTGAGGTGGGAGCAGTGCAAGTCCATTATCTCTATGAACTATCCCACGCTCAAGTCGCCGTTCATGTCCCCAAGCTTCTGTCGAAAAAAAAACAGTCGAACCGTCACATGCCTTCTCTCAGTGAGAAAGCCTCTAGTATCATCTTTCCCTCTCCACCCTATGCCTCTTGCAAGGCAATTTGATAGCGGTGTGAGGTTTGCTTGCATTCCCCAACTTATTACCGAGTTTGCACGCATAAGTGTGCCAAGATGAGTTGGGGTTGGGTTAGGGGTTAGTGGTAGGTGTTATTATATAGAGTTAGGATTAGATGTACTGTTAGGGTTACGGCTTAGGGCAATTGTTCTTCAACTACTCAAAGTACAACCGCGCATTCCCCATAGATTTTTTTGGATAAAACTACTTGGCCTCGTTGCATGTTCGTTCCCCCGTCCCACCTGTAAAAACCCCCATTACCACCGATCCCGTATTACAGCTGGCTAGGGTTTGTTCACTTCAGGTGGAGCTGCATAATCACATCTTACCGGATGGTTAACAAAAACTACCTAACGGTTTTTATTGGTCGGGGTACAATCTGGTTTATGAAGATGGAAGAGCAATGGATGGAGCAAGAACTCTATTCGGCTGACGTCCCGGATTGCCACTGAAACACATCGTCGCATATAGTCGTGGGTAAGGCTGATGGATGGGCGTAATGTCGCCGCAACTGATGCGCTGGGCCAAAGAGCTGGGCAGATCGGGGTTCGACAGACGTTGATGTGAACGCGCACCCGTAACAATGTGGCGGGACCCCCTTGTGCATGCGCATGCAGCGCCATTTTATTATTTTTTGCAAAATTCTGGTCAACTGCGCATCTTGGATCAACGGTTGTAATGGTACGTCTGGATTCGTGGCCACAAGAAGTTCGCGCAAGAGGCGGTCTAGCGATTATGATCAGTCCATTCAAGTCCTTCGACGTGATGAGCCCTGAAGTCTCACCAGTCAGGTGGTTTTACTTTCCGTGGGGGCATTGCAAATCCATTATCACTATTAACTATCCCACGCTCAAGTCGCCGTTCCTGTCCCCAAACACCTGCGAATACCAGGCTTAAAATCGTCGGAAATCACAGTCGAACCGTCACATGACCTCTCTCAGTGCGAAGGCTTCTAGTATCATATTTCCTTCTCTACACTATGCCTCTAGCAAGGCAATTTGATTGTCAGGTGAGGTTTACTTGCATTCCCCAACTTCTTACCGAGTTTGCACGCGTAAGTGGGCCTAGATGTGTTGGGTTGTGTTAGGGGTTAGTGATAGGTGCTACGTTTAAGGGTTAGGATTACAGATAGAGTTAGGGTTAGGCTTTAGTGCAACTGTTTCTCAACTCCTCAAAGTACAACCGCGCATTCTCAATAGTTTTTATTTTGGATAAAACTACTTGGCCTCGTCGCCTGTGCGTTCCCTGGCCTCATCTGTAAAAACCCCTATTACCACCGGCACTGTGGCTGTGGTTTGTTCACTTCAGTTGAGGCCACATAATTACAAAAACAGTACAAAAACTACCCAGCGGTTTTTATTGGTCGGGGTACATTCCGGTTTGTTAAGATGGAAGAGCAATGGATGGAGCAAGAATTATATTCGGCTGACGTCCCGGATTGTCACTGAAACACATCGCCCCATACAGTCGTAGATAAGGCTGATGCTCTGGGCAAAAGTGCTGGGTCGATCGGGGTTCGACAGACGTTGGTGTGAATGCCAACAGTGCAAGAGTGGCGACACGCCCTCGTGCAGGTCCGCGAAGCGCCAGGTGGGATCAAAGTACCCGTCACTTTATTATTTTTTCTTGTTGTGTAAACTTCTGGTCAACTGCGCATCTTGGACCAGAGGGTGTAATGGTACGCCTGGATGCGTGTTTTTGCTGCGCCACCACCTGCACCTTCCCAGCCTAGCAGAATAAGACTATTACTACTATGAACTAACCGACGTTCAAGTCATCGACAGCCAAACCGTCAAAGGTCTTCTTACAGTTCGAATGCCTTTAGTATCATCTTTCGCTCTTCGCGCTTTGTCGCTAACAAGGAAATTTGATAGCCGGTTGCCCACTTTATTATTGAGTTTGCACTATTTTGCTGCACCACGCGGAAGTAGGCCAAGTTGTGTAGGTGGGTGGGAGCGCGGCTGGAATACAACTGCTACAAACGCTCTTCCTTTGGGCGCATTTACTGGCAAGATCAAACGGCCTCTTTATGGCAGCAATATGGGACTGTTTTTGGCAGCCATTCACCCGCCGCTCGCATAGAAAGTAGTTCAGCGTGAGTAGTGGGACTTCATAGTTCACCACGTCGAAGAACTTGGATTGACTTACCATATACTACTATATTAGAATCTGACACTGGAATACACAGCAGAATTTATTGGGACTTCCGAAATTGATCCGGCCCTTAGTTTTTTTGGGCTTTCCTTCTCCTTCGTCATACTGACCCCTTGTGATTATCTGTTTTTGAAGAAGGAGACACGATGGCTGGGACAAGAGCTTTATTAGCCTGACGTTTTGTATTGCTGCTTAAATCCATCATCAGAGATAAAAGCTGAAAGGGATTTGGTTTATTTTTTTAAAAAATGAGTATTATTCAAATACTGCTAAGGCGTACTCCGTCTATGCACTCCGGGGTGGCCCATAGTGAGTCATCTGACCCGACCGCAGTCCTCACCCACCTATCTCACATAGGGCGCAAGCCCTTGAAGGCAGGAAAGAAGGGAGTGTCAACGCCTGGGTGCGGTTTCTAGTGATTTCTCATTGAAGGTTAAATCGTGCGCCTGGTTGGACTTCAGAGCTCACCACCCACACACTGACAATTTTTCTGAGGGGGGTGGGCGTCCGAATTTGAAAGACTGCTAACCTGACCTACAATGCATGGCCGATCTCGTGAAATGTTGGCTGAAATTCTGAAATGCGTTTTCGATTAGGAAGGATTACTTGGTTGCGGTTGTGATACTGATTATCTTGTGGCATAACCCTATAACATTTCGGACTCGGCAGGATGTCGGCTTTTAAATGCACTTCTTTTCAATCTCCTGTAGAAAGCGTGCTCGGTAAAAAATGACTACTTAAGTAGCATGCATTTTTCCCATTGATTTTCGATGGTCTTGGAAATTCAAATATATTTTATAGAAACCACAAACAAAAATGTGCCTTCTTTTTTGTCAATCAATAGAGAATCTTGTCTTCTTTATATTTTATACTTAAGGAAGGAGTGTAATTGGGTTTTTAAAAAGTTTCTAATTGTGAGACTTCTTAAGACCGCGAAATGTCCATTCACATAGAATCGTACCTGTCCGTTTACCACTGCTCCTCTTGGAATGAACAACATGGTCCGCATCCATTGCAAACTTTTTTGGACTCTGTATGATATCTCTTTAATGGCATAGAAAAATATGTGATTTTCTTTGCGCGGAACGAATGCACCTTGTAGAGTGAAATCACTAAGCGATAATGCAACGAATGTTCAGGCTCCAAATTCTTCGACAATTAGAAAACTTTTTTAAAACCTAATTATACTCTTCCCTTAAGTATAAAATATAAAGAAGACGTGATTCTCTATTGGTTGACTAAAAGAAGGCACATTTTTGTTTGTGGTTTCTATAAAATATATTTGAATTTCCAAGACCATCGAAAATCAATGGGAAAAATGCATGCTAATTAAGCAGTCATTTTTACCGAGCACGCTTTCTATGGGAGATTGAAAAGAAGTGCCTATTAAAGCCGATATCCTGCCGAGTCTAAAATGTTATAAGAGTATGCCTTATGATAAGCAGTATTACAACCGCGACCAAGTAATCCTTCCTAATCGAAAGCACATTTCAGAATTTCAGCCAACATTTCATGAGATAGGTCACTCACTGTATAATGGGTTATGTCCCAACTAGACGGCTACCAAACCCAGGCAATCGACAGCATGCATGAAGAAGAAAATCGTCTAATTTTGGTGGGGCGCAGCAGACCGCACATTCTTTACTTGGAGTGGGGTGAGGATTACTTGCATTCCCCAAATTATAACCGAGTCTGCACTAGTTTTCTGCATCACGCAGAGGTGGGCCAAGCTGTTTGGGAGCGCAGCTGGAATACAACTGCCATAAACGCTCTTCCTTTGGGCGCATTTATTGGCAAGACCAACGACCTGTTTATGTAGAGCTGTTTTTGGCAGCGACTCACCCGGTGCTCGCACGAAAAGTAGAATCGCGTGAGTGGTGGGACCTCAGGGATTGGGTGGACTTATCATAATCGCTAGACCACCTCTGGTGTGAACTCTTTGTGGCCGTGCTTCTTGCTCTGTGATAAACTCATTCAAATTCCTACAAATAAGATATTGCTTTCAGATATACTTTGGACACCTATCACCTAATATTTCCCGGTTTCTTTGTAATGAAGCACGCTTCGGTAGGAGTGGGTGAATACTATATTAGAATCTGGAACAGAAATACACAGCAGAATTTTTTTGGAACCACCACCGTTGATCCAGTCATCTTGCTTATTTGGGTGCTCTTTCTCCTATATCATACTGGCCCCCTATGATGATCTAGTTTAGTATTTTCTAAAAGGAGTAGTTTTCAATACTCGGAGGCCCGCGATGCCTGACATGGTGTGGAAGATTTCGGTAGGAGTAGGAGAATGCTATATTAGAATCTGAAACAGGAGTACACAACATAATTCATTGGATCCTCCACTGTTGATGCGGCCCTTTGTTTATTTAGGCATTCTTTCTCCTACATCATACTGACCTCCTATTACTTTTTTAAAGGAGTAATAGTAGCAGGCCCACGTTTCCTGACGTGGCGTGGAAGATTTCGTTTAGGTGTACCGCGTAGATGTGGGCCAACTTCGACCAATGTCGGTTTCTTCTGGCTAAGCGCAACATGTACCATTGTGGAGGAGGGGTTGGTGGGTTGAGATAGCCATAAGCCAGTCCAACCGCGCATCTAACCATTGCCAGAGAACAGTCGTGCTTTCGGCTAGTATTTCATGAGATTACCCACCTACAACATCCGACTCGCCGCTATTTTTGCTGTCCTACTTGTATCGTAAGTATATTTTTAAAAAAGTACTGACTTCTCCACGGGGACGCGACGCCAAGGCGCACCCCACCTCAGGCCCACGCCAAGTCACTTGACTCGTCGTGATTCTTTTCTGTCTGTCTCATATAGGGCGCAAGACCACGAAGCCAGGAAACGAAGGAGTGTCAACGCCTGGGTGCGGTTTCTAGTGACTGTTCAAAGAAAGGTCAAAGTCGCAGCCGATACTTGCGAAAAAGTCCTCAGGAGACACCTTTTGACGGGAATACGAATATATGGCTAATATGTAAGGAGGAACCGATCAGACAAGGTAAACTAGGATGCCCAGACAACCTGAAATCCGAATCCGGGCCCTTTTGATCATTCAGCACTGGGTCTTACAATCTTTCCCTGGACCACGGATGCGTCGCCCTATCAGTTGGCAGAGAGAGAGTACCCGCTGCGTGTCTGGCTTATATGCAGCCAGTCGGACGGCGCAGTTTTGGGGGGAATAGGTGGTTTATCTGCACGCCCACAGCGCTCCCTGTGGGACTTCTAACATATCAGGGCATCAGCTTTCAAGACCGGAGTTTTGAATTTTTTAGTATTTATTGCAGTAGATGTGCTATCGCATGGGATGCTAACTGAAATTCCATATATATATTTCCGGTTCGAAAGGATTACTGAAGTAGAGTTGTTGTATTTGTCATCGTGAAGCACACCTTATAGTACGTATCCATTGCCAAAATTGTATAAGTCCTATAGGGTGTCTTCATAATAGTATGTGGGAAGGCGGGACTTTCCTCAAACGGAATGTATACAGATTTAGATAGTTAACTCTGGACAAAATGCAACGGAATATCGTAATCATAAGTATTCAGGAATTAAAATTTTTTAAAACACAGACGTACTGTTTGATTAAATATAGCATTGCACTGAGGTGTTATTTGCTACACAATGAGTACAAGAAAGAATATGATTGATTTTATTTTCTAGAAACTACATTTGAAATCCTAAGGTCATGGAAATTCAATGGAAAAATGGCCCGTCGTGCACCTGCTAATCACCGTTAACCCATTGCTTCACATTGTTCCCTTTTTTTCCATTCACACAGCGTTCATCATCAGCCTCTTCCTCAAGGACGAGCAGGTGCGCTGTGTGGGCTTCAGCTCGGCGATTGCTCGCCTCTGTGACCGCTGTAGGGGCGAGCCAATCAGCGAGGAGTCCGAGATGGAGACCCCGCGAAGGTCGGGGTCTACGCGACTGGAGGCAAGGCGAAGGAAGAAGAAGAAGAAGAAGAAAAAGAAGAAGAAGAAGAAGAAGAAGATGATGATGATGATGATGATGATGATGATGATGATGATGATGATGATGATGATGATGATGATGATGATGATGATGATGATGATGATGATGATGATGATGATGATGATGATGATGATGATGATGATGATGATGATGATGATGATGATGATGATGCTGATGAAGAGGGAGAAACAGCGGTGTTTGGAGGGGGCAGCAGTGTAGCCCTCCATGTTTTCGCAACATTTAGCGTCTTCTCAGCCCCAGAGTGTACAGTTATCACTTTCCTAAATTTTATTTGGCACCTGTTTTCCCCTCTTCTCGCGAGGGCGGGATCGGATTGCCCAGCTTTGTCGACTGCTTTATCACTTTTAGACTGGGACGCTTATTAATCACAGTTTCTGCCATTCCGTAAATCCAGTACTACTTTGCTGTGATTTGTTTCCTCGGCAGTGCGTCCTCATTTGCTGGGGTAAAACTTGCTGTGTTGCTGAGTCCGATTAGTCTTCGAGGGAAGTCCATTCTGGATATAAGTGAATTTTTTGCCAGAACGTTTGGAGTTCGAACTTGCAGTTCGCAATTCGCTGACGAACAGCCCTCCGCTGCCGTCGAATCGAATTCCATCCGTTGATCGATTTCTGGGCATCCTAATTCTCATGGGGTCCCCAAGTGAAGGTGACCTGGGGACTCGCGGAAGCTTATCACTGGTGAGCACTGACGACAGTGTATTCATAGGCTTCTAGACGATGTTTTTATTACCTATTCGAGTCGATGTCGGTCCTTCGTCTTCAAACTTTGTCGGCCTGTGTTTCATTTCTGACCCCTACAGCGGATTTGGCTTCCTAAGCACGATAAGTTAAGGCGGGGTCAAGTGTACTCATGGCGCGGGTTAATCAGGCAATGTGCAGCCCACGCGACACCGTAATTACTGCCGTACATGACGGGGGTGCAATGGCATGCTTAGACACAAGTCTCACGCCAAGACAGGCGCTGCGTCCGATCCCAGCACCGGCAGACTAACATATTCGTGCAGTCGACTGATGATTTGTAGACGGAATAGGACTGAGACCGACACTGGGCAATCAGTCTTCGGCGCATATCTGTGCACTCCCCGTTAGCATGGATCTGATTCGTAAATCCATCACGATGCGCTTGGATGGCGGCCACCTGGGTGGACAACGTGGTCCCTACGACTGAGAATCAGTCTGTAATCGACCCTCAACGTGGACTTAATGCAATTGCCAACGGCTTGGGGTCCGAGCCAGCCTCATTAGAGCCTCATGTATTCGGCGGCGACTACTTAACGTCTGGCACTGTTTAGCTTTGTCCGCAACTGGCTCCGAACCTACCTCCGACCGTGCTGACACCGTCTTGCAAGAGAAGGGGATGCGGTAGATGCCACTAAAGAACCTATCGCTGTGAACCAATCCACGTGCAGGTCACTGGTGTTGGACCCAATTCCTGGAGCTCACGGTGGACGCCGTCTTTCCTGACGGCCGAATATGCATGCTAGGCTGCCTATTGTGTTATCTCAATATCCGTCCTTTCCCATCTACCCGCCATAAGCGCAATGCATTAGCAATTTCCCGGCGAAGCAGCCACTTTCGTTTGTACCCTGCACAAACTGCCCTCAGGTTAGTCGCCCATGCGTGTACATGACGCCAGAATTATAGCTTTGATTGTCCCGTTTTGTTGTGTAACCTATCAGGCAGCAGGTGGCCAGAGTTCGATATCAGTCAGCAGGAATCGTGCTTTAGGGGTGGGGGGAGGGGGGGGGAAGGGGCTGGCAGTGGTGGGCAATATAGCAAATTTTATTGTTCCATCAACCTGGCAGTGGCTTCCTGTTTCGTTTATTTGTCATTTGCTGATACCATTGTATTTGGTTTAAAGTAGAACGAAACCTGAGACGTGATTTCCTCCGCTGCATTTCGCCTCCTCCATTCCCAGTCCTGTCATGCCTTTTGGAAACAGTTAGCACTTGCATTTTGTACACAAGCTCCACCTGTCCAAAATGTCTTTTTTTCGCTTTGCGTCTGTCATGCTTTTCAGTTCAGAGTTCATGACGGCGCGCTTGTTGTCCCCGATTGCTACCACAAGCATTCCTTTTTACGGAGGTCCGTGAGGTACAGTGTGTGCCCGATCTCATGAAATGTTGGCCAAAATTCTGGAATGCGTGTCCGATTGGAAAGGATTGCATAAGTGTGATTGTTATCCTGATTATCATGAACCATAACCCTATAACATTTCGGACTCGCCAGGATGTCGGCTTTCGAATGCACTTCTTTTTGACCTCCTGCAGAAACCACGTTCGGTAAAAAACGATTACTTAAGTAGCATGAATTTTTCCTATTTATTTTCGATTGTCTTTTAAATTCAAATATATTTTGTAGAGAACATGCACAAAATATGCTTTTTTTGCTCATTTGGTAGGAAATTACATTGTCTTCATATTTTATGCCCGAAGAAAGTGTGTATTTAGGTTTTTAAAAAGTTTCCCGATTCCCGAATAATTTTCAGCCTGATCTGCCATTGCATCATCGTCCAGCACTTTCAGTCTACAAGGTTCATGCTTTCCGCGTAACGCAAATCATATATTTCTCTATTCCATTAAGAAGATACCACATAGAGTTCATGAAATTTTGCAATGAATCCGGACTTTGCTGTCCATTTCATGAGGAGCATTAGTAAACGAACACGTGCTGTCTTGCATGCATGGACACGCACGGTCTTAAAAATCTCATAATCAGAAATTTTTTTAAAACCTAAATACACACTTTCTTCGGGCATAAAATATGAACACAATGTAATTTCCTACCAAATGAGCAAAAGAAAGCATATTTTGTACATGTTTTCTGTAAAATATATTTGAATTTGTATGACTATCGAACATCAATAGGAAAAATGCATGCCACTTAAGTAGTCATTTTTACCGATTATGGTTTCAGCAGGTCAAAAAGAAGTGCATTCAGAAGCTGACATCCTGGCGAGTCCGAAATGTTATAGGATTATGCCGTAGAAACGCATTCCAGAATTTTGGCCAACATTTCATGTGATCGGTCATGTGGGACGCAGCTTCTGTCGATGGAAGACCATCAATTCGAAACCCTCCGCACACACTTACCTTGCCCGATCCCGGCCAACTTCAAGCTGCCGAGTGAGGCACGTCCATGCGTTCGTGGTACTTACTCGACACAAGTGGCCTACTCTGCAGCAAGTTCCTGTGATGTTGAATGTCCGGCTGTCAAGAGCTGGGCGATGAAATATGGGCGAGGTTTGGTCCTGCGGCCCCATTTGATTGATACTCAATGGGTAGCTATCTAACTTTCCCCCTCGCCGAATTAAGAAAGGAAAAAGAGCGCAAACAGAGGTTGAAGCACGCGCAGGGAAGCGCGTGTGAACCGAAGGTGGCGTGTACACGCCCCCCACGACAAAGTCACTCGCTGCATTAATAGGATAAGGAGGGCGCAATCGGAACTGAAAGGCCACAGGGGGAAGCGTGTGCTAATTAGTAGTACATGGCCACTATGGTGGAACCGACTAAGTTGCGCACCGTCTGAACAATGACATTAGCAAGTCTATCTAGCTATCAGTTAACTGATAACGCATTTTTCCAAGGCTGGCGTATAGGCACTCCCCTCACGCCCGAGGCAGAGCAAATAGCTGAATTAAAATAGTGAGGAAGGTGTAAACAGGTGATCTATGAAAAGTGAATGTCATCGCACTCGCTGAAAGTATTCTTCTTAGCTAAACATGTGGAGTCAATCCAATGGAGCTGCGGAACCAAACCTCGGCGATATATGGCTGTAGCGCCAGTCAGTCAGATTACCCACCAAAGGCAGATGTCGCCTGTGAAGCAGATAGACACAGAATCGTGTCCGATTCCGTAACTGTCTGCGCAGAGTGTGCGAATTTCCGCGCAAGTGGTTTACAGTGGTACATATGTATCTCTGAGGCGCAATAATTCCGGACAATCCGACTTCTCCGCCGGAGCTGTCGCCTCTCCTCGCGTCAAGTCTGGCGCATTGAACAAAATCGACACATACCAGTACTTGGTAGATCGCCTGTAATCATTGCAGTACTGACTGCCGAGCGAACAAGCACCCAACATACTAGATCCCATAATTACTGCTGTACATGGGAGGGGTATTATGACACGCTTAGACGTAAGCCCCGCGACAAATCAGATCCTCTGTCAGATCCCAGCACCATCTCTGTACAGCGATTGGTGCATTGGAGAGATCCAGGCTGACACTTGGGTATCAATCCTCGGCGCACATCAGCGCCTCCCGCCGCTTTATGTCTGCCGTGCTTTTCAGTCCAGAGTCCATGACGGCGCGCTTGTTGCTCCCTATTACCAATGCAAGCATTCATTGTTACGCGGATCCGCAATGCGTGTGTATGTGTACGACGCAGCGTCTGTTAATCGAGGACCATCAATCCGAAGCCCTCTGCACACACCTGCCTTGCCCAGTCCCGACCAACTTCAAGCTGCTGAGTAAGCCACGTCCATGCGTTCGTGGCCCTCGCCCGAGACAAGTGGCCTGCACTGCATCAATATTCTGTCCAGCTGTCAAGAGCTCGACGACGATGTATGACTGTGGCGCCAGCTAGTAAGTAGATGATGTCGCTTGAGGAGCAGATAGTCATAGAATCGTGTCTAATCCTGTAACTCTCTTCACAGAATATGCAAATTACCGCGCATCACTTTGATATCGATACCAGTGTTCGAAAGAGCTTTGAACTGGTACATAAATCTGAGGCGTACTCATTTCAGACAATCCGACTTCGGAGAACACTGGGCAAAATAGACACATCGCAGTACTTGGAAGATCGTCAGTAATCACTGCAGTATTGACTGCCGAGCGAGCAAACACTCCACACACCAGTATAATGCATAGCAAGGCCCCCCGTTGCCAATTTCCTAAATAATACGGGCCCCTTCAGACGACGGAATTCCGATGTGCAAAATTGATTTGACCAAAGAAATGGGATAAAGTAATATTCAGTATCTAAACTGGATGTGGAGAGCAACTCACAGGATCGAATGACAGAACTTCTGGCAGATTTGGCACACACGCATAATGAGTTCGAAGAGGAGAATTAACGTGAGACTCCAGAAGGGCAGCCAGATCAAGGATGGAAACGACTAGGCCAGTAACTTTTGTTTTATGGGCGAATGAACCACGTGCATTGGTACGAGATTTGTGGGAAACCGTGACGGCTACACTGCGTCGTGACCCCTGCCTGAAAAATGATTTTTTCTTTAAGTGAGCACATGGAGACCGTGATTAACATTTCCGGAGACCTGGTCCACCCGTTAGGGCGATTAGAGCAAAGGACGTCTGCCTTGTTAAGTGAGGTTTCTCAGCTTCTAGGAGCATCCTCCCCCAGA